CAGACAACAAAGATGAAGCCTTTTGCACATACAGTACTGCGCTGTCAGTGAAGGCAAACATGGTACATAGGTGGATAGATGGGTGTACAGGCTGAGCTATTAGGTATGTCTATGAAGCGGGGAGTGTACCCAAGACCATGTATAGGGTTGGCAGACAATGGTTCTATAAGTGTATTTGTATGATCTGAATTCCCAGGTGTATAGTAGAGCTGACAAGGGACAAGTTGTAGTCACTTCTTGGGCACAGCCAGCTTCCCAGAAGGACCGAGTAGTTGAATCTGTGGGCTTGGGACCATAGTCCCAGGGGACATCAGGCACAATTGGCATAACATACTATACAAAACATTGTTCCACTTCCTACTTTGGCGAGTAGTGACTGGGATCTCAAAAGCTTGCAAGCAGCCATCTAGATGCAACAATGGGTCTCTCCTCGTCCAGAGAAAAGAAGAATGAAGAAAACCAAAGATTCTTGGAAACAATTAGTCCTCGTGACCAGTACAGCGACCCCATGTCCAGCAGAATGAACTTTTGCCTTGTGCTGCCCCATCCTCCCCCATGTTGCTATGCTGAGTATAGCCACCACGTCAGTCCATCTCACTGAGGGTCCCCCCCCGATCACTGACCCTGTACCGCACCCAGCATGATACCCTTCTCTAGGGATCGGTCCATTCTGACAATATGCCAAACTACGAGATAAGTCTGGCCATTCTCATTTCTAGGGAGCAGGTACTTCTGGCTGTACTTCCTCCAAGACAGATTTGTTCATTCTTCTCACAGTCTGTGGTACAATCAGCATTCTTCACCAGCACCACAACTCAAATGCCCCACTTCTTCTTTGGTCTTCCTTATTCACTGCCTAGCTTTCACTGGCATATGAAACTATTGAAAACACCTCGGCTCGAGTCAGGCACACCCTAGCGTTCATCTTTGCTCTTTAACACTTTAAAGAGGTCTTTTGTAGCAGATTTGCCAAATGCAATATATCATTTGATTTCTTGACTGCTGCTTCCATG